ATTTGAATGTTTTATAATTATTCTATATGAAGCCTGTCAAGATAGATTATATATATATTTATTTATTTAGTCATTTAGCAGACGCTTTTATCCAAAGCGACAATCATATGATGATCTGATCGAAGTTAGAAATTCAAATATTGTGACAAAATTAATTTTGTAGTGTGCCACAAGTTTGTTAAAATTTCCAAAGGGTGCCGCGACTAAAAAAAGGTTGGGAAACACTGATCTAGACAATAGCCAAATAATTAGCTTGGCCAACATATGGGTCTATCACAACACAGACTGTACTGATTAGAAAGCGGACAAAGCTCACCAGACTGCCACAGAACAAACAAGGGCCAGAGCCTTCTTGCTCACACACTATCCAACCGCAGCTCAGACAGTTGTTGTCTGTGTTTCTGAGCCAGACACTCGCAGGGTTGACGGCCAGGCAGTAGAATAGCCAGCTTATCTCGACCCTCTTGAGCATACAGATTCACAAACTTGCTCTTCTTCTTCACTGAGCTTGAGCTGCTGTTCTCTTGTGCCTGATAAACGAAAGTAAATCCCTCTGTAATTCTCTCCACCTAGTTAAACCAGATATATATTATGAAAGAGTTTTAGATATTACAATGAGTTGACATACCTTCATCAAGTCAATGGGAGTTTTCACAGGCTCCGGCTCTGCCTGACAGACAGTCACAATCTCTTGCTTGTTTCTTCCCTTTCGCTTGGACTTCTTCTGAGTGTCTTTGGTAGCTGTATCCAGACCCTCTGGGGTAGACATTTCATACAAAATTCCTTTATTGACACTGAATAGATATATTACAATACACGAAGATGCACCGATCAGGCAATATAATGGTTGTTTTGTACTTTTAAAAAAACTGCGATAAAACAGAAGTAGCAACAGATCTTTTCTTTTGCTTTGTGACCTCTCGATTATGTAGGCCGGGGACTTGATTCTATTCATCGGCTGTTGACTGGATTTTGAGGCATGGCTGCTGTACTGAGTACTCACTATTGTAAACAGATAAACACCTGCTTGCAGGGGCTGCATTTAAGGCCTGTTCACGCCGAGATTAATTTCAATTTGAATAAATGGCAGTTAATGCATCTGTTCAAACAGACAACAGCATTCACATTTTTTTACAGAGGTGTTCTAATCCCTTTTCCATTGCACTGCGAATAAAACTGGAAACCACGATCATATTTTGCGCATGTTTTGCGCAGCTTGTCGGTGAACAACGGCTCTGTGTAGTTAATGCTGCTCCATGTGAAAGCCGGCAGGTGATGGAGATTTACCGCTGATTAAAGAACCGACTTTACTGACAAGATGCGCGTTAAATATTGCATGCGATTTATCATGCAGCCCTACAGTGCTGTTATATAAAATATGTTAGATGACTTTTGTGGTGCTGTTATGTGTCATATGAATTGGTGGTGCTCACAAACAGACCCAACAGAGCCAACTATTTCTCTGTTCTGTTTGAAAACATGTAAATGCTGTTTGTTTCTTCAATGTGACAGGCCGTGTCAGAAATGGAAAGCTGCACAGTGATGCCCCAGTGTGCGTATGTGTTTGTGTTTTACTGCAACATTTTGAACAATGAACACATTATTAAGTGCAAGTATGACAGATAGCAGTCAAAGCAAATCAAATACTGAGACAAACATAAGAATGATAATTAAAGAAAAAAAACATTAGCATCTTGATAAGAAAATCGCATTATACTGCTGTCTTTGTTTGCTCTTGCATTTCTGCTTTTCCATAAGCACCACATACTGTCAAAGTGAAATTGCATTTTTCATTCAGCCCACGTGCCATTTTGATTGAAGTGACAAATTGCATGTGAAAATTAGATTGAATTATTGTGCTGAACATCTGTGTTGATGTGAACAGGCCTTTTAAGCGGTCTAAATGATTGGAGAAGATACATCACCAGAGAGAAGTTTTTCACCAAAACATCCAATTATGACATTCTGATTTAAAATTAAGAAAATTTTCAAAAATGAAACATACACATGTATATAATAAATAATCATAATAAATCTCACACTAAGATTTATTGAGATGATTGAAAAAAATATATTTTCATTTAAACCTGGTATAGAAGAAGAGTTTGAACACACCAGCCTAATCAGAGTAATACATATTATTTACAAAACTGTTAATCATGTTGATAGATATGGATATGGTAACCCATATTTTATCCTTAGTTCTTAACAACATCTGTATTCACATTAAAAAACACCTGTGTCCATATTTACCCATGACTGCCTTTCTTATAGACACCCCCTAGTAGACCATAAGGTGCTTGCATCTGACACCTCTGCCATCTCTGCACCAGCTCATCCACAAAATCCTTCGTTTCCCTCTGTTCCTTGTAAGAGATCTCCAACATACTCCACAATTTCATCAGCATTGTCAATAGATAGGATGTACCCGAAAACAGATATTTTACTGACTTTTCTAACACAATGCTCACTTATTTTTTTACAAAGACCTATTCAAAAACAACATACCAGATGACCAAACACACCCATCATAAACTCCGAAGAATCTACTGCCAGCTGTGTATTTATTAATCACCATATACACTTCTTACACATTTTACATGATCAGTATTTTGTTACATTAATATATCTCTTCCATATGGTCAATATAAAAAAGTAATGTAGTTGTAGTATGGCACTTTGGGACTAAATCTTATAATGACGTAACAAGGTGTTTAGTACTTGTTTGTACTTATAACGCGATGGCAATATAATAGTATTTGCCCACCAAGTTATCCCTTCTCTTGTTGTATTTATTCCATTCTTAGTCCACATTCTGGCTTGTCAGTTCTGTTATTTATACTTCAACGTTACATAATTTCTACAAATGACCACAGATAGACTTGCGCACAATTCATCCTCTATTAAAATGTACTTACTGTACAATGTCATCGCTTGCCTCCAATCCAAAACTATGCTTTAACTTATCAACAGTCCAGCGAAGCAAAGAATCAGTCATGGTGAAGATAAAACTGTGAGACACTGCAGAATTTGTGCGTCAACTGACAGATTTCGGCATTTACTCATTCGGTTGGCTTCCGGGAGACGTGTTTCTGTTTCATAATAAAAGTCTCCCTAGACAAAATCCGTACTACCTCTGGTCAGGTAAAATGGGTCTAAACAATGCGTATACTATATTAATATTTAAATATGTGTTTTGAATGAAAAGTCTATTCAAGTTTACCAGTAACGTTAATCAAAGGTAAATCATGTACCTGTTGAAGTTTCATGAACAACGTACCTTATAAGAACTGGTACTTTTCTCTAAACTGGTTAGGATTGACCAATCACAATCGTTTGCGATTTCGATTTTATCATGATCGTCGTTTGCTACTTCGATGTTATTGTGACCATACATGACTATTATGACTATTTAATTATTATTAATGTTGAAAAAACTTCTTTTTTTTTTTGGAGAAACTGTGATGCACTACATTTGCTACACACTACAGTCTGGGATAAGTTTTATTTATTCAAACACCCATTAAATCGATCAAAAGTAAATGCATTTGTAATGTTATAGCCTAAAAAAATTATATTATGTGCCAAAGTTATATATTACGTTTCATTGTACATGAACTACATTCATGTTTCCTTAATTATGATGGTTATATTTTATTTCATGTGATTAAAACAGGGCCCTGGCCCTCAAAGTCCACTTTCCTTGCTTTTTCAGGTGTGTTTGATTAGGGTTGAAGCTCTACTCTGCAGGAAAGTGGACCTTGAGGGCCAGAGTTCAGAACCCCTGTACTAAAATATACTTTCCTAAAAAATAAATAATAAGAAATAAGAAAAATACAATGTAGAAGTTCAAAACTGGTGCAACACGACTTTGATATGTGCAATGAATGTTTTTATCATAAATTTACAAAAAGAGAAAATAAGAACACCATAACATTTTCAAATGTCAAACCAGAATGGGAAGATAACACATTACCAAAATGAAAATGACGCAATGACGAACAAGAGAAAAAAAATCAAGAGCACAAACCGTTTAAGAGTAAGAATGTTCTGCAGGAACATGCACATTCACTTAACTGATCATAATAACATGCTACTATGTGATTGCTTTTCTCTGTAATTTTAAAACACTTATTTTTTCCTACAATAGTATTGCAATTAAATATAACTAAATGTAACCTCCAACAACAAATAGTTAAAATAACTGTAATGACTGTGATTTCTGTTTGACGTGCTTATATTAAACAATGTTTAGCTCACTTACTGTCAGGATCAGCCGTTATGCAAAACGGAAATACAAGCTTGAAGTTCTCATTTATATACACATAGTTATTTACAGATAAGTATATAACAGTCATACGTAAGTTACGCACTGGGAGAAAAGCACAATAAACTCACTCTTAAATTTGCTATTTTAAATAAAAAATAGTTTTAATAATGTGATGTCACTTACAGACATATAACGCCAACATAATAAATAAATAATTTAAGCATATTTTAGCACATGGGTGTGAAGCTCTGCTCCTGGAGGGCCACAGTCCGGCAGAGTTCAACTCAAACCTGCTCCAACACACCTAACTTTACGGTGCGTTCCAAACGGGATATATCGCACTCCGAAGGGCACTTCGGAGTGAAAACAATCATGGCCGCCATATTGAAGGGTCGTTCCAAACCAAAGTGCTCAAAACTGGCCACTTCAAAGGGCCCTTCGGAATGAAGGATTTCGAAGGGTACAACTGCTGGACACTTCGAGGTCCCATGATCCTTTGCGCAGATTCTTTGCATGATGACGGCGCCTCCGTGTGGGCACGTGATGATGACGCAGAAGGGCACTTAAAGAAACAGTTGTTTGGTCCCCTACACCCTTCAACCCTTTGAAGCTCTCACTCCGGAGGGTAAACCCTTTGAAGGGATTAGGGCATAGGTATGATCCCTTCCGAATGGAACGCACAGTTAGTTTTCAAGTAATCCTGAAGACCTTGATTAGCTGGTTCAGGTGTGTTTAATTAGATTTGGAGCTAAACTCTCATAGTTAAATTTTTTCCTCCATAGGCTGTATTTGGCCCATGGTCTGAGTGTCTGACACATGCTTCACAGCTTCTGTATTTAACATAAACACACTGAAGATCCACTGTCAACCCCAATACCAAACCCTGCACAGAGGGGCTCAGTAAATGTGGAGTGGAAGGTGTAAATGTGGGTAATTTTGCCAGTTTCAGATAAAACACTGTAAAAAGACAAAGAGCCAGCTGGCTGATCTAGATACACTCCTATTATGTTAGAACAGAATGAGGGTGCAGGTATGTCAGTTCTTGCATTATTATGCCTGGCATAGTAATTTTTACCAGAGCAGACCAGACTCCAGGACTTTTCATTGAGTCCAAACCTGCATTCGCTTCCTCCTTTCCTGTTGATACCTCGATATGTGACTGCTATATGACTCCAGCCACTCCATTCAGCCTCCCAGTAACAGCGTCCAGTCAGGCTCTCTCTACACAGAACCTGCTCGTAGTGCTCAAATCTTTCTGGATGATCAGGATATGGCTGCTCCTCTTCCAAATATGTTGCCTTTTTGTTGTTCTCAGATAGAATGAGATGAGTGTTTACTGTGTTTCGATCTAATGTGAGGTCACAGGCATCTGAAGGGAGATTAAACATAAGTGATATCACTAAAGATCTTTAGGACATTTTCCTTGATATTGTCATGTTTGGCCTTAGCTTGGGATTGTATTCTTCTTCTATGTAGTAGATTTTCATATATTAAAATAATGTTAAAATTCATAGTACACCTTTATCTTTATGTTTCAAATAATTGTTTAAAATCAAGACTGCATTTAAAAACAAAAGATCTAGAAGGTCTAACAGTCCTCCACTTGTACACTCTATATCGTCTGCCTGAGGGGAGGAGTTCAAATTCAAAATGTGAGATGTATCATCTAAGATAGTCAAAGACTTCCTAAGGACATTTTTCTCACACAAAGCAGATACCCCTAACTGTACTGAGCCTGTAATCTTTGACCCCAGATTAACAATTCTCTGCATCTGGGATCTACTTTTAACATTTAGTCCATAAAACCAACAAATCATAGCAAAAGTCAAGACAGTTTCAATAAAAGATCTATAAAACATTATCAAAATAGATTTATCCACATCAAAGGACTTAAGCTTCCTCAGTAAATATAACCGTTTTTGTGCCTTTGATACAACAAGGTTTGTGTTTTCCAACCAGCTTAGCTTATCGTCAATAACTGTACCCAAGTACTTGTATGAGTTGACCTTCTCAACTTCTTTACCTGCAATAACTATTTTAGATTGGATATCAACAGTTATAAAATTCTATCGTCATGTCTTTAGTCTTGGAAACATTAATTTGTAAATAAGAACTCTCACACCAATCCAAAAAATAGTTCAGAATGGGCCCATGCTCTGTATCACCCTGTTTTAACAGGCTTAGCATCACTGTATCGTCAGCATATTTTATAATGTGTCTGCCTGGATATTGACTTCTGCACCTATCCGTATATAAAATAAATAAAAGAGGTGAGAGAATACAACCTTGGGGGCAACCCACTGAGGAATAAAGCTCCTGGGAATATTCTCCATTTACACTTACTATTTGAGATCTTCTGGTCAGAAAATCTCAAATCCAGGCCACCAAGCCCTTAGGAACATCAAATTCAGACAACAAACGTTCAGCTAAAAGAAGTGGTTGAATAGCATTAAATGCGGATGCAAAATCTATAAATTCTATGGCTTCTATTCTTCTATGGCTCCTTTAGAATGATGTGTGTTATAAAATCACAAAAATTAATTGAAAAATAAATGTGCATGCAGTTTGCTTGTCAGCGAGATAACTTACATTTCCGCAGTCCTGGTGTGATTCTGAAGGACTCTCCATGGTCAAAACTAAACAGTACAGAAAAAGGCATGTAAAAATGGTCTTGGAAAAACAGATACATGATGGGAGGTGAATTAAAGTCCTAAAATTCATAAGATTTACAAATTTATGTAGTACTAAGTGAGGAGCACTGAATTTAATTATTTATTGTCCAGCCAGATCTTTTAGTGAAATTTACTTGTGGAGAATTCTTGACAACATATACTTTGTGACAATATACATTTGTTTTCAGCATTAAGCATCATGTAATTTATGTAATTTCAACTCTGTGGAAAGTAATGTAATAGCTGGTAACAGTTTTTGGACTAAGCTACCAGACATCAACATTTTTGGGGAAAAATAACTCTTGGCACAAAAACATTGTATGTAAAATGTCTGTGTAGTCATTAGGCTGCTGGATTCATTGCATATGCTTGCTCAAGGGAAAATACAGCAAAATAATAATCAAATAGAATGCTTTTATATCATACACTATGACACATACACATCTAAATTATATGATTTTAGGTCTACATACTTAAGTATCTCCAGTTTGCAGTTTGGATGGTTCAGTCGATCAGAGAGCATCTTTGCAGAGTTTGATGATTGTAGAGCTGAGGCCACAATTTCACAGGATTTATCAGTGAGATTACAGTCAGCAAGACTATAAGAGAGCAAAACACAATTCAAATCTACAAACATCTGCATAAGGTAGTTCAAATGTAAGACGCAGCATTCATTAGCTTAAGTGAAAGAAGAATTTAACACTCACAGAGCTTTTCTGCAGTTTTTCACAGCTGGTAAGAGTTTTTTTCGACCTTCTTCTGATGTATTAAATTTCTTGGGATCAAGTTCCTCCAGCACCTCTTCTGACATCTGATACATGTAGGCGATTGTTGAGCAAAGTGCAGAAGAGAGTTTCTTCTCTGAGTGTTTGCCTGATTTCAGAAACTCCTGGATCTCTCTGTACAGGGTCTGGTCTTTCATTTCAAAGAGACAAAGAAAAAGATTGATGGATCTTTCAGCTGAAAGATCATGTCCATGTTTAATTTTGTCTTTAATATAAGCAGTTGTTTTCTCAATGCTCCTTGAGCAGCTGTGAGTGTTGGTCAGTAGATCCTGTAAGAGTTTCTGATTGGAGTCAAGTGAGATGCCCAGCAGGAACCGGAGGAAAAGATCCAGGTGTCCATTCTCGCTTTCTAAGGCTTTATCTACTGCTCCTCTGAGCAAATTATGCAGAGAATCAAAAAACCTTAGTACCTCCACAGTGTTAATTACATAACAATAAAACACATAAATAGCAGCAAGAAACTCCTGAAAGCTCAGATGAATGAAGCAGTAAACTTTCCTCTGATGAATCACAGATTCCTCCTTAAATATCTCTGTGCAAATCCCAGAATACACTGAGGCGTCAATGACATCTATGTCGCACTCTTTCAGATCCTCCTCATAGAACATGATATTGCCTTTCTTCAGCTGTTTGAAAGCCAGTTCAGCCAGTTTCAAAATCACATCTCTGTTGGACTGCCGTACTTTTCCTGGATCTCGCTCATCGTACTTCTGATTCCTTATGTTTATCTGAATGAGCAGAAAGTGGATGTACATTTCAGTCAGAGTTTGAGGGATTTCTGCACTGTCATCTTGTTTCAGGATGTTCTGAAGTACAGTGGATGAGATCCAGCAGAAGACAGGTATGTGACACATGATGTGGAGGCTTCTTGATCTTTTGATGTGTGAGATGATTCTGCTGGCTTGATGCTGATCACTGATCCTCTTCGTGAAATATTCCTCCTTCTGAGCGTCATTGAATCCCTGAATTTCAGTCACCCGGTTGATGTATTTTGAAGGGATCTGATTGGCTGCTGCTGGTCTGGACGGGATCCAGATGTGAGCAGAGGGAAGCAGCTCTCCTCTGATGATGTTTGACATCAATATACCAACTGATGAAGACTCATTTATATCAGAAACCATCTCACTGTCTGAAAACCTCAGTGAAATTCTGCTTTCATCCAGACCATCGAAGATGAACACAACTTTACACTCATCATAAATCTTTGAGTCCAGATCTTGAAGTTCAGGAAGAAAGTCAAGCAGAAGTTTGTGAATACTGTACTGATCATCTTTAATCAAGTTCAGCTCTCGAAATGGAAGCACAAACATGAAATCTACATCCTGATTGGCTTTTCCCTCTGCCCAATCCAGAATGAACTTCTGCACAGAGAC